TACTCTCACCCAAAGGGAGGTGCTCAATGTCAACTCAACACTTCCACAATTCAAAAAAAGCTAAACTCATTTCCTCAACTTTAGAAACACCAACTCATAACTGGTCTGCCCTTCAAAACTTGAACTTGAACATTGAAATTTAATCCTCCACCCTGATGTTGTGACATGACACTTCCACTTTTCCTTCACCGTTTTCCCCAGAATGACATATTTGCGATGAGTTTGTGTGAGATTTCAGGTTTTGGTGAAGTTCATTGCCTCTACGTTGTAATATAAAGTCATGACAGGTTCACTGAAAGCATATTTTTTAAAACATTCCTTCATATAACTTTCGAAGAATTCTTTTGAACGTTCAATTCAGCAAATGCATGGAAAGTTTCCATGTATAGCAACAATTCTGACACTGCGGATTCAAATAACAACATAAGGCAAGAGAAAATCGACACTTCCACTTTTTCTTTGCCAGAATGACATATTTGCAATGAGTTTGTGTGAGATTGCGGGTTTTGGTGAAGTTCACCGCCTCTGCTTTGTACTATAAAGTCATGACATGTTCATTGAAAGCATATTTTCATAACATTCCTTCATATAACTTTTAGAAGAGCTCGTTTGAAAGTTCAGCAAATACATGGAAAGGTTCTATGCATAGCAACAATTGTGACACTGCGGATTGAAATGACAGCGTAAAGCAAGAGAACATCGAAGGTCCAAACCTTTGAGCTTGATCTGGTCTATGAGATCATTTGCGCGAGCCAGATGGAGATGTGAGGTCGCCAGTTTGGGATCCGAAGTTACAGTTAATAATGGGGGGTAAGCGCGAAATAACTACAGTTCCATTGCCGAACTAGGTCCTAAAGTTAGTAGACAGCCCCGAGAATTACTTTGACTTTGTGTGTCCCTCACATTCCTTGGGAATGGAACACAAACAGCAGTGGAAATCCCACCCTCTGCGCACGAGCATGCTCTCATTGGATGGAGACATGAAAGAAGTCCTGTGTTTAGAATCAGGAGACCAGCGAGAACAAAGCCGCAACACCCGTTCAACTACTTTTCGCCTTCTCGTTCTGTTTAAGAAGACACAGAAGACGGCAGAAGACACCCAACTCGAAGCGTCATGACTATTCACAACATGGCCTTGAGTGCTTCATAGATTTTATGCAGCGGTTCTATTGAAAACAT